GTTCTTACAATTAAAAAATAAAATAAAATTAGTGCAACATATCGATGCCTATTTTGAGAAAAGAAATGATCAAATGCCCTCTATTCCTTTAATTAAAAATTGAAGCCGAATGACGAAAGAGTATGAAACTATTTCTCAACAGTAAAATGTACACAGAAGAGCTTTGTATACGAAGGGAATTTATATTTGAGTTCAAAGCTTCAATAGTGGACTACCTTAGTCGGAAGGTAATAACAGATTATGAACTGTAAATTTTTCTCAGGTACGAAAAGGCAATTAAAATATATGTAGAGATTGCACGGCATTCACTCAAAAGTAACTTGCTAAAGTATGGAGTCAAAGGGCATCTTCTTAATGCTGGCTTATGTCAACTCTGCAAAGGTGATATTGTAGCCATCACCAAAGCATTGGATGAATATCAGGTTTAATTTTGAGACTTTTTGTTTTGTCTTGATGGTTTACATGTACCTTATGGCTACTGTCTTATTCAAATGTCTTGCCTCTTGTTTTACAGGAATTAGATCCAACGTTTTCTAACACACGTGAATGTAGACTTTTAGCTGTAAGTTTGTTTCAATCTTCAACTGATGTTTTTTTTTTCTTTTTTTTTTTCTGCTTCATTCTTGTCTGTATGCACTATGATATAAATTACATGATAGAGGTAGATGACCCTTAATGATCTCTTTTCATTTAKGTTGATTGCAAGTTCAGTTGCAAGTTCAGTTGCATTGACTTCTCCACATGAGTTTTTATTCCATTCTTGCATATTATGTGTGGCTGTCTGCTGGTTTTCAAGATTTCAATTAGATACTTCTTTACATCTTATTTTCATATGAATATAGCATTCTGCATTCTTCTATGACCGCTTTTTTCCCCCCTGGATTTTTTTATCAATCTTGTGCTCTCTCGAGCTGAAAAAGTACTTCATCTGTCAGGATATTGCAAGTGCAATTGATGAAGAAGATGTTGCAAAGTTCACTGACGTCGTTAAGGAGTTCGATAGCATGACCCCTCTGGTAACTCTCTTTGCATTTGCAAAGTTACATTGCATTACAAACTGTAAAGATATCCAATTTGGTTGATAGAAATTCTTAGAGAGACCCTGGTGCTGAAAACTCTCCATGTGTATGTCCATTGCATAGACTAAGGCTATCCATTCTATAATTGCCACACTTCTAATATGTTATATGTTTGGGGATGGATTTATCTTACAATTGCTGGAAAAAGATGTGCGGTGGTGAAAGAGTGCTCTGAGTTTTTTTTTCCCTTGGATGAACTAATTAATCTCCTTGCGTTTTGAAGTTAGAAAAATGCATGCGTTATTGTTTACTTATATGCATAAATTACTTGACCAGGACCCATGGAAGACAACTCTTCTGTTGAGAGTGAAGGAAAAGCTGAAAGCCAAAGAGCTGGAGGAGGATGATCTTACTTAAATTTCTTTATGACAAATTGTTTTGTTGGGTTTTGGTTGTTTATTGCTGCACTCTATATGATGAGGTTTATGTAAATTTTCACCACATTTATGATGTCTGTGATTCTAAAACATTACCTGGTTTGGGTTTCGATCAGTTTGCAACTTTGCATGCATATGAGTTTGTGAATGTGTACTATTTGTTACCCTGCTTTCCTTTGGCTTGGCTTGGACATCAATTTGAGATAATTGAAGAGTCATAGTTTTTACTATGACTTTTTATGCGGTTAATTACTGTGAGTTTTTGCTCGGTCCTCACTATTAATGAAAGAAAATGTTCGTGTAAATGAGGAACATGTTCAAAGGGGGAAGAAACAAAAGAATTTAGGGCCGATTGGGTATGCAATTTTGATTATATTTCTTGGTTTCAAGTTCACTCATTCAATATTTTAAACTTGATCTTACTGGGTTTTCTTCTTCAAGTTCTGTCCATGTCTCCACTTGAGAGTTTTAATCTAATCTCCCAATCCAGTGTTTATTTGGCAACTAAACTTGCCACGTAGGCTCTTTAATCATCTTAAGAAAAATGTCATATCATATTTTAACCTGTTCTAAAATAATAATTATACAAAATCTATAATATGTAGGTTAAAAATTAATTAATAACATTTTAAATTGAACTAAATATTTGGTAATACTAGTAACTAAACACACTTTAAATAATTTTTAAAATTGAGGTTCAATTTCAAGTTTATTACCAAACACATTAAAAAATACTAAAAATATGGAATACAATTTAGTTTTTCGGTTAATCCTCATTTCCATATTTATGTTCTTAGATGACGAATCTGTCTTTCTCTACTGAATTTGCTTTCAGATTTGACACATGTATATTAATTTTGTACTCCATCGTTGATTTTCCTTTTGTTGGTCGCTGAGGTGCAAATACCAACCTTCATCGATATAACGTTCTTAATGTTACACAAGCAAGTAGCATCATCAATGGGCATTTGGTCTAGTGGTATGATTCTCGCTTTGGGTGCGAGAGGTCCCGAGTTCGATTCTCGGAATGCCCCTCATAGAATGGATGATATTCATATGTAATTTTGAGAATTTAATTGTTTCATAATTCATAATGGTTAGCGTCTGTTATTTTGTTGACGTGAATTTAGTGCTGTTTCCATGACTCAGTGGGTCTTAAAAATCTCAATAAGAATCTCCAAAACCATAAATTGGATATTCCTCAAGTTTCAAAGATCATCAGATATTGCAACTGCTGCTCCCTCTCTCCATAAAAATATCATAAACACTGTTTCTGAATTGATCTGCTGTGTATTTTCCTACCATCGTTGATTTTACATCTGCAGTTACAAGCGTGGGAAGGAAATAGTAGAAGGGACAGAGATGTGTTTGTCTTGTATTTTAATAAATGTAGTGATAGATTAATTTGTAACTTTGGTGGATGAGTGGGTCACAAAGTCGGGTGTGGATTAGTTTTAATCCCTAAATATCTTTTCCTATGTTGGTCCAAGTATTGGTGTAAGTGGTAGTTTTGATTGAATGGACAAGATTAGATCATATATTAAAAAGTATTTTCTTTAGGTACCAAACATAACACCAAATCATACCACAAACTAAACCCAAATCATAATCATTGAATTTTTAGTAATTGAAATGTGTAAGATATTGTCGGCAGAGTTTGTCAACGAGATTAAAATTTGGCGGTGGAAAAAATGTGCAAGTAAATGGAAATGGGTGAATCTGTGACTCTTCTGATAGAGAAATCTCCATGGCTGATTATTTCTGATTAACAAGATCTTCTTCTTCTTCTTCTTTAAATTCGATAACCCAAATAATTACAAAAATTATAATATGTGTTTTGGTTGCATGTATCCAATTATTTGTTTTTGTCTTCTCCAAATTGAATTCCGCAGTTCATTTAAGACTCGTCTTGCTTTGAAGCTTCCACTGCTCATTTTGTGCCCTTAAAGTTAAAAAAGATAAAAACTGAATTTTAGTTCCTTCAAACTTGTACTACTGTTTCTCTGTCTGTGACCACCCATCTTTATCTGGTGGCTGAGATTTGACTTCTTTTTATGTCGTTCTCAGTGGGGCCGTTTGGGGTTTATTTTTGTCCATCTGATGCTCATCATGTGGCTCAGATTCGCCTGTGATGGCCGCCGGTGACAGATCAACATGGGTTGTAAGCAATCTTGATTCTTGAATGGAGACGAAACAAGCAAAATAATCTCCCACATTCACACAAAATTCTATTTTGGCCTCATTTGATTATGATATGGTCCCTCTTTTCTCTCATTATTTACCCAAGAGAACCACACTTTGGTTGGTTTGTTAAAAAAAAAATAATGTAATTTGGGCGGTTACAAATGGAGAGTAAAATTAGCAAAATAACAATCACATTTAGTTTTTTGAAATATAACACTTATGAGAAAAAAAAAACAAAGCTCCAATTATATATGTGTGTGTGTGAGAGACATACATTTGATACACTACTAAATGTAAATGTATGATATCCTTACAATATGTATGTAATATTTATCAGATATACTCTTATATGAGTGCGAGTCTTTGTGCAATATGTATATGATATACATCTGATATAATACTGATACAAGTATTTAATATACTCTGATATATTACTTATATGAATATTTGATATACTGTTGATATAAGTGAAAAGTTGTGTCATATTTAAAAATTTTTAAAAACAAGTGACATATTTTGAAATACATAAAAAAAATTTGTTACCTACCGTAATTTTCCTTCTATAAAGAGTCCAATAAATAGAATAGAGATTCGAATTCACGACTTTTTATCGAAGATAGGCGTTTAAAGAAATTGAGTCATCGTCGAATTGACTATTCGAATTGGTACACATTTAACCATTTGAACTATGTTAAGTTCATACATCGAATAGTTGTAACACTAGAAATAGGAAATAGGAAGAGGATGGTTTGAGATTGAGAACATGTGGAGAGAAATTTGAACAGTCGTTTTCTTTTCTGTGGGGAAGTCAAAAAGGAGAGCCGTCACCTACAATTTCCTACTTTTCTCTGCAACCTACAAAAACATAGTTTATGGCTGAAAAGTTGTTTATATTGGCAATGAAAATTGAGTTCTCATATCATTAAGAAAATTTAAATCCTCCTCATTTTTCAAATTTCCGTCATTTTCCATTGAAAATAAAGAAAGATAAACAAGTTGCATCTTATTAATAAATGTTGCCTTGGTGCTATCTAGTGGTCCACTGCCTTCTATAATGATATGTATATTTTGATAGCCTAATAAACAATTTTGGGCATCATAAAAGATGACTTTGTCTTAGCTACATATACATATTAAATTGCGTAAAGGATTTATTTAAATATTTGCTCATTTATTTTGTATTTTCTACAGTAGAACATTTCATTTGTCCCTAAAGTATATATATTATTTATAAATGTTCTTCGTACTATGTTTGAATTTCCAATTTAACCTTAAATTAAGTCATAGGCCTGCACATTAATATTGCTGAAATTGAGTGATAAAAATGTGGCCGACAGCTTATACAAATAAAAAAAATTTAAATAGCTCTAGACCAGAGAAAAAAAAAAGTATCTATCTATTAAGGAGTTGTCAATTCTTAGAATATGAGACGAAGTAAAAGAGTTGCCACACAAAGAAAAAAATGAAGAGAATGAGAGATTGAGATGTCTTTGACTTAATTGAAAATCGAATAAAAAGCTGTATTTTGTATACGATAACTTCAGACTGTGAACCACACATTTTGTATAAAAGGTGTAAAAATGAGATTTATGAACCTGAATAATAGATTTATTCAAATCAAATAATCATTTGCTTAACTAAAATTAACAAACACATTTCTATTCTTCATTTCTATAGCAATGAAAAATTATTAAAACAACAAAAATTTTATCAAACCAACCCTGAAATATTTAAAATTTATTTTGAACCAAATATTTAAAAGAAATTAACTCTGAGTTCAACTAAAATTTGTTATGCTTTAAAAAATGTATAATAAGTTGTCCACTCTTCACTAAAAATAGTAGTAAGGAATTACATTATTTTGAAAGTAATCTCTAAAATCCGCACCAAAATTGTAAATTGGAAGCAACATGTGGGGAATGGGAATCCACCCATTTTGGCAAGGTTTCATATGCCCATAACAACTATAACTATTGTATCTCTTATTCCTATTCCTATTCTATGCGTCCTCCAGATTCATTCTCTTCCAACAAATATTTCAAAGTAGACTTATCCCCATCCCCATCCCCATGATTCAATTCATGCCCAACCATGCAATAGACCATTTTCAATTAACCATGTCCCTAAATCAATTACTCCCACAATTCATAACCTAATTTGCAAGAAAAATTCCAACGGAGAAATATTCTCCCCTCCCCTCCTGTCAAATTGAATTTTTTGAGGAAACAAATAGATTGAAAAGTCATTTCTTCAGAAAAATTTCACACATTATTGGACTGGGTTCAGTTCTGCTAAGTGAAGCTATCGACTGTAAAATAGCTAGCGTAACTTTACGAACCCATTTTTTTGGGACACGATTCGGTCAGCTGAAGTTGGCTTGACCGTTCTCCACTTCCCTGCGTCTCGCTCCATAAACAAAATTTGCACCCCTCTA